CTTTTGTTCTTCCAGGATTTATTTTGTCCTCTCCTCAAACGTTCGTTCTCCATCTCATCTTTCTCGCGCTCCATCCCTTGGGTTCACTCTCAGCAATTAACAGCTAGTGCAGCCGAGCTCGCGTTCAGACAGGCAGTCTGTCGAATTTGCATTTTCATGACAAACACAAGTTGGATATATTTTCCTGAGGTCTGAAAAGACGGCGTGACCTTTTCAGTTTGGATCACAACACATAAAAACCTCACAGACAATCTGGCATGAGATTTTGAGTTATTTATAATCACACGCGGTCCAGCCTGATGAAACAGACTGGGTTTCTTTCCTGCTCCCTGTATTTGACACACATGTGATTTCACACACGGTGACAAGTGAATCAGAGAAAGAAGAAGTGAGCACAGACAAGTGATTTCCATCCCGCCCTGTCGCAGACATCTGCACCTCCGCATCATTATTACAGACTGACAACCAGCGTGACATGGAAACTCTGATATCAGCCTATAAGATCAGACTTGGAAACAACATTAAAGTGTTTCTTTCCAACTAACTATTTAAGGACAGAGAACCAACAAAAAAAATGCAGCACAAAAACCAAAATTTATGAAACTAATATGAATCTATAAAAATGGTGTTTCCTGCACTCAAAAACAAGGGAAAAAGCATTAAAATGGGGGAAATATTAATTAAAATAAGCAAAATTATCTGCCAACAGAACAAGAATATTTTACTTGCTACTTAAGAAAAAAAAAACAAGTGAAATTCTCGAACATAAAAGTCGCCTGGTAAGAAGAAATATCTTGTCAGAGAAGAAACAAGTGTGTTTTGGTTTCAGTTAAGATGATTAATCTTAGATTTTAGTTTTTGCAGTGTGCCGACATCCAGCACAACATATTTATTTTACGCACACATAAATAGTTAAATGCCATATTGCACATTTCTTATTTTTATATCTTTTGTGTGTCTATTGTTACGCACGTAGTCGCACACAGCAAACTGTTTTAAGTGTAAAAACTTCTTCTCATTGAGACTCCTGAATTGTCCCTAAACGGTTAACAGTCAGCTGCTCCGACAACGGATTTACCATCATGACTTGTATCAGGACCGACAGGTTTTAGACCCAAACACAAGACACCAGAGAGCAAAATACAGTCTGTGATATTTATTTCACACTTACTGAAAAACTAATATCCAATCTGAGTTCATATAGTGAAAAAAGCAAAATCCACTACAGGCAGAAAACTCAAGACTCCACAGTTGGACACACTGTTAGGAAACAGGACACTCGACAAACAATGATGACAACCAAATATAGAAGAGCAAAGCAGCAGGGCGAGGCCCAACCAGGCGACACAGATCAGGGAATCAGGCAGACAGGACAAACAGATCTAAACACAGCAGCAGGCAATGGACAAAGCTGGCAGACAGACCAGGATCGTGACAATTTGGGCCGCTGTTAGAAACAAATATCCTCAATAACAGAAGAGGATGCTTGGAGTCATGTGTTAGTATTTCCTGCAGTCTCCAGATGTTTAGACTTGTAAGCAGTCTGGACTGCAGTGTGGCGCCTGTCCTCTGACCGGCAGCTCCGTGTCTCTGCTGTCTCTTCGCTCAGACACTCCTTAAAGTGTTTTCAGTTTCCACCTCCTCGTCTCATCCGAACATCCAGTCCCAACCAGATTTCAGCGCCTGTCAGGCGGTCTGAAGGGGTTACCACCACACCAGCAGAGCAGGTTATTCTTTTAATGTTACGACTTCTTCCTGGACGTGTCAGAGGACACACATGTGTTCGGGAAAAGCTGCTGAAACGCAGGAGCTATTAAAGTCCAGGAGTTTCTAACTGAATTAAAATGAATTAATTTCTCATTGAGGTGAAAAGGAGCCACAGTCACATTTAAACAGAGACACAAAGAGGAGGGAAGACTGAATCATGACTCAGCAGGGATGAGATTAAATAAGCTGATCTACAGGAGAAACAGATCTGAGAGCTGCACTGACTTAGATTCTGTTTTTGAATTTTTCTGTTTCCTTTTCTACCATTGATTGGTGCAGAAAAATTCAGGAAATAAAGCGTTTAAATGCTCAAAATCATGTATATGTCCCACAACCGTTCCCTCTCTTCCAACACCTTTTGAATACTCTCAATAATTTGACAATGCATCAGTTCATGTGAGATTAAAGACAAACAAACATCGACCACCACCATTACGCACTTTAATAACCCGAAGCCGACTCGACTGAACCAGGCCTGCAGATACAATATCTGGGAAAGAGCACGAAACTGAAGATCCTCAGCACAATCCGATAATCAAGAGAGCTTCATTATAACAGTTTTGTGCCGACGTGGTGCAAAGACAGACTGCTGAGAGTGGGAGGGCTGAGGACTTAATACGGGCCCTGCAGGTTAACCTGGCCATGACTCTCATCATAAAGCCGAACTCCTCTCCCTCCCTTCCTCCTTTTTATTCTTACACCCTCTAAATTGAATGAGTCTGTTGCCCTCGTACCTGCCCGTCACGGCCCAGTATTCCCTCTTTATGTCCAGAAAAACGTCCATTTCCATAAATCTTCGTCAAAATCAAGGGGACAAAAGGTATCACGGAGCACATCGAAGGGGGACAAAGTTTTAGTGCACCACCGGCGCCTGAAGGCAGATCCAAGGTTACACGCCGAGCTCCTCTTCTAGTTTGCATCTTGATCTAGCTGCTGGCAGGGATTGTGTTTTTGAAGGCGCGCCGCATGTCTGTCACAAATGTTTTTGAGGAGAAAGAAAAAAGGGCAGAAATTGACGTTACAAGTAAAACATCGGCAGCAGGATCACCGGGGCTTTCATGTGCGTGTGCGGGAGGATTCTGTTTCCAGAAAGGAAGATCAGATTCGGCTTCCTTCTATTAAAGTCGGCGTAGAATAAAAAGAACAAAAGGATTCACATTTTTATTTGAAGTTGAAATCTTCATTTCAACAGAACTGGCACAACAGACGCAGGTTTATCTCCTTGTCAGCATCTTTCTTTGATACGACAGCCGTGCTCCGAGTTGCCTGTAGTTTCTAAACAGCGCTGTGATACCAACGCATCTTCATCTACATGCTGTCATTAGCATGGCAGTCAGTACCATTGTGTTGTCCTCAAAAGACAGTCTAACCATCAGTTATGTTTCCTCAGGGCCGTCTCACACGAGACAGTATTTAAAAAATCTCTCCTCACTGTTCGTTGGCAACTGAAAGGAAGATCTCGACATTTTTGGAAAAAAACGCTGCTTCGCTTTCCTGCCGAGAGTCAGATGAGAAAACATGTATCACTCTCACGTCTGGACTGGGATGCAAACTAGTGACTGTTTTCGTAGTCGACTAATCTGTTAATTATTTATTTGATTAGTCAATATTATGTTTGTCAACTAATCCTAATTAAACCATTTAACTAGTTAAATATCTTTGAAGTGAATTACTGCTCTCCAGCACACAGCCTAACTAGATAACGTCACCATTAAATGAACGAGGTTTGAACACCAGGATCAACGCCAGGAGGAAACCAGGGAAGAAGACAAGACAGCGAAGGCTCCTCCTATAATTCACTGATTTATACAAACTTATATAAAACTTTTAACTGTTTAACAAACTATATAAAATAAAAGCAAATTAAAATCAAGTACTAAAACCACAACTGTGCACTAACAAAGTCTATAAAGCAACAGCCCCCTTTCATACTCTGTAGTTTATTTTTCAGAAGTGCTTATATTTTAGGCAGTAACTCAGTGGAGAATGTTCTGTAGCTGCATCACAGCCAGATGTTCCTTGATGTACTTTAAACCTTTACTCATTTCTAATAACTTTTTTAAAGCTGGGTCGGGAGAGAGAGAGAGACTAAAAAAAGAAACTTAATAATTGTACAAATTTTCAAATTATTATTATTTTGATTGTTTGATATTTTAGTAATTGTTTGTATTTATTTTTAATTTTTTTATCAATTATTATTTTATTTTTTGAGTATTAATACATACACACACACACGTTTACTGTATTATCTATTTTATTTGAATTTTTAATATAATTTTGTCTTTTTTAACATACAAACGTTACTGTTTTATTTGGTTTTAATTTTTAATATAATTTAATTTTTTTTAACATACACACACACAAAGACATATACGCTTTAATTACTTGTTTAATGAAATGTATGGGGTTGATTGTTCTTATGTTGTTTGTATGATGCTTTGGCAATATTGTTGTTACACATTCATGCCAATAAAGCTAATTTTAATTGAACTGAGAGAGACAGAATGCGCTATGTCGCTGATCTGCAATCAAATAAGATTTTAAATAGGCCTGGTAAAATTTAAAAACGAGTTGATATATCAGCGTTGATATTGTAGCTTCATATTTACTGCACAGACATGAGAGAGGCATCAATCTGAACATCAGACCCTCAGACACAACATGAATAATTTGCCAAAGTGTGGAGCTCCGTATTGCTTTCTAAATGGTTTTTCTTGTTTCTGGATGCTTATGAAAGTTTAAATGTGCACAACGCCCGGCTCTAAATATGATATATGTCATGTCTCTAACAAAAGCAGCACAGTGGCCGGAGCTTATCTGCAGTCAGCACCGTGAACGTTACAGAGTCTGGCAGTCTCTCTTGTAGCCATTTTAAAAACTAAAAATGGCTTTTTAAGTTTCAAATACTGTCCGACACCTGTTCAAGTCACATGACGCACACTGACCGTCTGCGGACACAGAAGGACAGGCTTCATCTTTATCTCTGTTCTTGGACTGAACGTCTAATAACATCCCTGTAGGGCTGACTAAGACGCAGACTTGCTGCAGATCAGTGGTGCTGACGGCGCCTCTCTGGCAGGCTGATGATGATGATGATAATGACGTATAATCATCCTCAAAAGAGTCCTGTGCAATTTTGTGTCACAGGAAACCGAGAAATGGGACAGAGTGAATGTTCTCACTGAAGTCGGGAAAGAGGAAAAGGTCTGTGAGCTCCGGAGATGAGAACCTACCGCTGATGGTGGCTCTCTTTGGCAGGATGGTGACGGCTCCCACTGCGGCGTCCTCCAGCTGGTGGATGGGGCTGTTCTTGGCCCCCCAGCTGTCCGAGCCGATCCACAAGAAGTGACCGACCTGGTCCGCTCGCTTACTGGCATTCAGGATCCCCCTGGGTTCAAACACACATCAGCACTGAGTCACATGCAGCGTCATATTCACTGTGTGCATGGAAGCCTTTAAAGAGAGAATATATCGGATTTAACCAGCGTTACAGAGAAAAATGACCCCGTCTAGGTCAATATAGCACCAACACAGTACTGGGAACATTATAGCCCGTCCCAAGGGGTTACTTCGACCCAGCGTCAGACATACCTGGGTCAAGTTTTGCCACAAATCCAATGTTAGTCGCTCAAAACAATGTGAATGGGACTTTTAAAACTGCAAAGCCTACATGCGTTATTAGCACTTAACAACAAACAGATTCTAGTTTGGGTAAATAACCCAGTAGCATCATAAGAAAAACAAAACTAACACGACAAACCAGCCGCTGTCTCGGCTGGTTTTCTATCTAATGTTAACCATCATTGTGTTGGTGCTATATTTAGGGTTGGGTATCAAGAACCAGCTCCTAGTTGGAACCGTTACCAAATTTCCAAGAACCGTGGATTCTATAAGACCCGTGCGTTTGGATTCTGCTTCTTGGCTTCTAACTTCCTGCATATTTCAGCTCCTGACTGAACTGCAGTGAGCATTTTACATCCTATCAAAGTGTCTCTGATCTGCCAGGAGCCGCTACGCCGCCCGAATGTCACATCATGTGTTCCGTCAACAAAGCGTGAAGAAGAGAGTCCTTCTGGTTCTGGTCCTGGACCGTGGCGGACCGCAGCAAACGCTCCAAAGTTTGGCTCAGCTTCACTAACAAACTGCAGCAGCTGCAGTCAGGAGGTTTGGTGCGAGGGAGGAAGCAGCTCCGACGTGACGAAGCGTTTCCTTCAAGACGGCGTGAATCTGAAGGAACGCTTCACCATGTTCAACGTGTCGCGCTCTCCCAGCTACAACGACGCCCCAGATCCGGGAAACCGATGAAGGCTACAAATAAGACGAGTCCCCAAAGACGCCCCTCTAGGACAGAGACTCCTTTCAGTTTAGCCATGAAGGGGACGAGGAGGAAGGTCACCGATCTGTGGTGTAGGGGTTGGAGTCAGAATCAGAATATGTATAAATACGATACCCAACACTAGCTGAATTGACCGAAACTGGGTCAATTTTGACCGATGCAGCGTTAATGAAAACAGCAGTAGTTTCTTGGTAAATGTATTCCGGCCTAAAATAACACTGCAGAGGGAAAACAGTTAGTTCCAGCGCCTAACCTGAATATCTCATTATAACTGACCTAAGCTTCCACCTTCACGGTGTCAAAATGAACATATTTACCTGATATCCTCATCAGAGGCGAACAGGACGACTGCCCTGGCGTACCGAGTGTCCAGCAGCAGACGGATGATTTTGTCAAAGTCGGAGGATTTGTGTTCATGAGGGATCTTCAGCGACTGAGCGATGCAGATTCCTCCTGAGGAGACAGGAACAAAGGGCAACGTTAACATCCAGTAACTCGCTGACCACTTGTGTATTTCCTTCCTACGGCAAACCTGTTTGAGCTTACTGTAAATTAGTTTAACCTTTAAGGGAAAATGTCCAAAAGGTTGAACATAGCAGTAAAAGTTAATGTATTATTAGAACAAACCTAAAAGAAGGAAGAAGCAGCAGCACAGCAGAGGAAAGACAGCTCTGCTCGTCTCTCTCTGCCGCCTGACATTTCATGAAACCGCCGACATTTCTGCACACAGTCGTCTTAAAAGTGTGAGGGAAAAGGCTGCGAGAGCTGCAGGCTGAGACACTGCTAGTTTCAATAAATGTCACTCGAATGTACACACAAAAAAAAAAGTGTAGTTTTAAAAAACTTTTCTTTGCACTCAGCTGGACGCACGTTTATTTTCTTCGACTGTGTGATAATGGAGAATCTAAGCTTTTGATCACAATGATGAATTCGTTGTTAGTGACCTCACACGCATGATGAATATTGTACTAAAGATGAAGTGAACAAGCAGCCGCTGCAGCAGAGTCGGCGGTCAGCAGATCCTGTACGACATGTCATCAACATAAAGGTTATAATCTACAAAACGTCTTTTCAGCCGCTCCGACAACAAACTGAGGGAAGATCCCCACAATCCTCTGGTGGAAATCAATTACACTTTAATTACATTACATTAAAATACTCATGTTTCACTCGCACTATGAGCAGCATGCTGCCGAAGGACGGAGCAGAGACGGAGACGTTTTTACTTTTACAGCATCGTGTGCTTCACATTTTTATTAAATGACGTATTTCATCTGATGGCGATGACAGAACTCATGGTCACGTCTGATGATTTAAAATAATAAGCTAGTAAATTATGCAGGCTGGGTTCATTCCTGAAGCATTTTCACTTCCAAAATGATGTGTGAACCTCGTGATGCCTGCAAGAGGGAAAGTCTGAGGACCCCCCCAAAGTCAATAGGAAGTTTTTCAGTCTGGTGGACAGACGGACGGACAGGCAACAACTCAAGACAAGTCATATGTCTGACCCTTTCACTACCTATTTGCAACACCCACTTCCAGCAGTGACATTTGGCTCACGCACGATGTTATGAAAAGTAGCGTGAGGATTTTGCACAAAGAGTTTGGCCTTTAAGAGCGGCCGCTGTCACCGAGGCGAGACGAGGGCAACGCCAGCCGGTCAGAGCGCTTCAGTCGTCCCAGAATCCCAAATTAGATCAGATGTTTCGCCACTTAGAAGGGCACTTCGGGCCAGGGCAGCGCCACCTTCGGTAAGCCAGTCCTCACACTGAACGTCGCACTCTGCGGTAGAGAGTGGGGAGAAATGAGGGCTGTTCGTACCGCGTCTCATTTTGCCATCGCGTGCAATGGCGGAGAATCTGTATGTAAACCTCTTCAACCCTGTGAACTCTGATGTTGCTGTCGTTACAAGCTCTGTTCTCACTCTCAGAACAGTTGTGGCTTTACTGCAGGATCTTCATTCAGGTGCTGGAGCACGCAGATGCAGAATGTATGATGGTGTCAAGCTGTGCGAGAGTTCACGTTGTTAAGAGATAAAGCGTGACAGAAAACCTACTTCACTCTGGGAAAACCTTTTCCTGCTCCTTTATTATCGACCCCTCTTGCAGTTTCAGCCACGATTTTTGTTCCATTTCCTGTTTTGTCTCCACCACAGATCAATCTTTGGAGCAAACTGACCCACAGCGTTAACCAGCTTACAGCTAACTGTCCTTTCAGCACACGCCCTAAAGCCAAAGTGAGCTACTGAAGCTGCCGTAGGAGTCGTGACGGGATTAACGGAGGAAGCCACGGAAAGATTATTATTATTTCTGTATTTTTAAACCTGAGGGACTCCCGGTGACCCCCTTTGTTTTCAACAGTCTCCTTCAAGGACAGTTTCCGCTCTGAGGTCTCGTGGGAGGCGAGTTGTTGCAGGAAGAGGCCAGCGCTCCTCTCCCCCGTTTTCCACCGACGTCTTCCTGCAGCAGCTCACGGGCTGAAGCCTCTACTGCACACATTCAAAACCTTTTGTTGCCACGAGTCATTTCAACACCGACAATGTGACAGAAATGAGCCTTTAAGTTCTTTCCGGAGGAGAAAAAATGTGGATCTCGCCAACCTCTTCACCTCCGCTCCACCGTCTCCGAGTCGATCTTCCATCGGTAATGAACGTGTGTCGGGAGATTGCAATGAACCACCAACTGGGAACTCAATTCCTGTGTTCAGAGGTTAATACAATCTTCGCGGGGAGTCACCGCTTATATCACACTCACTAAAACCAGCAAGGTGAAACAAACACCTGAGTCAGAGTTTGTCTTCTCTCCTTCTTTTAGCTCTTCGTTTATTTCTGTAACGTTTGTCCTCTTTCATGTTGGCTCTTTCTTTCTCGCTCTTCTTTAAAGTAAAACCTGCCTCCGCCTCATTCTGTCCCTTTTTTGTTGTTTCTTTCATTTTTTCCCCCCCTTTCATGTTAGTTTAGCGAGTTAAACGTTCCTCCCCGTTTGTTCTTTATTTCCATGAAATGAATCACCTCTGCATTTCAGTGTTTTGATATTCTTTCCCGTGACATCTTTCAGAGGTTTGACTGCTGAATGAAGTCTTTTTCCCTCTTCAGAGGAGATAGACTGAGCTTCTCTCGCTTTACAAAAAGAGGAAAGAAAATGTCCTGGTCGATGTGATGGTTTAATGAAAACTGAAATTGCATTCTGGTGCAGTACAGGACGTACAGGATGTATTTTACTGTCCTGTCAGAGGGTCTGACAGGCTTTCGATACAGGGAGGAGCACGATGTCTATCTGATGCCTGAGCAACGTAAAGACATTGATCTTGTTTGTTGCTCTGTTTGTAATGAGCCACACTGTCGCAAGGCAGCAGGAGCACAACGCTAAGGTACTTTATTGCAGCGCCCCGGGGAACGGTGACCCCCGCGGTTTTGGGGGCCCGTCCCCGTCTGGACCTGTCTCCGGAAATGTCCCCGGTTCTAACTTGCGTGTTAATCATACACTGTATAAGGTGTTAACGGACCTGCAGGTGTCGTGCTGCAGCAGCATGTTTACGCTGTATCGCCCGGTCTCTCTGCGTCTACAGCTGCTTTTATCTGGATCAAACAGACATAACGTGCAAATAAACATCACTTTATGTCTTTGTGATACTTTTAACGGAATAATCACAATTGTGGCTAAATAATTGTTTGCAGTTTACAGCGTAACCAGGCCTGACATTTCCGTGATTATAGGCAATAATAGAAGCCTGTTGTTGCCGATGGATGATGTGTTTGGTAGGCCTATGTCTAATATCCTTGTTTATATTTGGAAAACGGAATGAAGCCCATAATTAACATGACTTACTGCTGAGTTATATAAAAAATAAAGACATTATCTTTTTGCAATTATCCTTATGACTCAACCTTATTTAATTTGCTGTGTAAATCCAGACCTTTTTTCCCTGTTGAAATACCTTTAAATGGCCAAAACAACACATAACATGCAGTATTCTGCTTGCCAGACAGTGATTGCAGCATCTGCTTATTGACTGAAAGGTTATTTCTGCCCTGAAATGAGCTGATTATATTCGTTAGGGTTTATATTTGACAGATTGCAATTGTCCCGCTGTATTATTTATAACATTATATTTTTAATGACATACTGACCAAACCAAAAATGTTTTCCATTCAGAAATCTGGTCACCTTACCTACGGGAGGTTTACTCCGACCGTCGTTCGTTACGAAAAGATGAACGAGCGTTGTGGTCGATTAACGTAATGATCTGCCATCACGTTAATTATTACCGCTGGCTGCAAACAGGTTACAGGTTTATTGTTGATCATCTAACGTTACAGTTTAATTTAGTTAACACTGGTTTGAGAGTCTGGGGTGTGTGTTGACTTACAGTAGTTTATAAGCTGTCGTTAGTTGGAGACGCAGGGTGATACAACACTCATTACTTGAGACTTGACTTGGACTCTTGCTCAGAGACTTTTGAGCGTCTCTGGCGCTGAGCTCTTAACTGTACAGATCCAGTCAGAGGACAAGAGAAGTGAACGAGCTCGTCATCTCCTGCTCAAAGACAAGTTCCCGTCCCCTCCACAGAAACAGCAGCCATGGACTCGAGGCTCAAACCGCTGATTCTGTACAATCACTGAGATTATCCTGCAGAGTCATGATGCAGTGATCAAAGGTATTTAATTAATGCACTCAAATATTGATTTCCGTTTGCCTATTATGTGTTTTTAGTATTGTTTTCTTATTTTGTTTTCTTATTTTTTATGCTGCCGCCTTGAGACCTAAATGAAGATTAAATCAGACATATCAGTCCTTTAGTGATCTGGTTTGTGCCTAAGTTTGTATTTCTTCATTTACAATCATTAAGATTTTCATTTATACCGTAAAACTTTGAATAGCAGCCCATGCTTTTATTTGCTAAAATCACTGAATTTGTATTTGGGACAGCCCTTTAATTCCTTTTGCACAAGACTGAAACTACTATGAAACAATTTATTTATTTCAAACAGAATAATACTTGTATAAAAAGGATCAAATAATATAAAATACACGTCATTCATTTGGTCTAGCTCGGACAGACGGTTTATGCGCTTTTATTTTGAAGTATCAGGCTGCAGGATGAGAGAAGTGTGGCAGAAGTTAGCAGACTTCAAACGACAGGATTCACAACTTCATCGAGTCCTTTGATGGGTGGACCCTCTCAGAGAGAAGGAAGATAAATAATCAAGGAACGGACACATTCCGGCTTTTTTCCGACACGAGAGCCTCAAAGGTAACGGCACTTTTTCCTCTCTTGTACCAAGCAGGTTACAGCAGTAAATCTATGAGAATTAGACTTTGTGGCTCATTGTTTCTGTTCTGAAGTGAACGACTGAATTGTGGAGAATCTAACCGATCTAACGACGTGTCCACAATGACACACTGACCATAAGTTTAAATATTAATATTTGTGTTAACGATCTGAGCAGTTTA